GGGGAAAAAAATCTGCCTCTGCCTCCCAGCAATTTACTTCTTTGCAGCAAACAGGACTTGCCGAGGCTTCAATAACCTATAGCAATCCCTGCAGCCTGAAACACCTGGTGATTGGGAGAAATTGAAAGTGAAACTTGCTCTTTGCTTCCCGAGGCAAATTGCTGGGAGGCAGAAGCAGATTTTTTTCCCCCATGTGCTAATCAGGCTGTTTGCTGCAAGGAGGTAAGTCAACAACTATAAATGCCTATCAAATGTTCAAAGTATTAGACTTATTTATTTAAAGACTGCTTTAATATTGTTCTAGACAGCTTAACAAAATGAAGAAGCTTTTTAAAATAAATGCTCCTCTGCTGCCAGCAATTTGCATCCTTGCAACAAACAGCAAACAGTACAGACAATATACATGTGTTTGTAATGTTATATTTCAGATTATACTTGTACAGATGTTGTTAAAATTGATGTGCTTTCTGGAAGTATAGTTATTCTCTGCTATTTAAAAGAATAGCACTGGGCCTCTTCAGATCAAGCATTTATTTTAAAAAGCTTCTTCATTTTGTTAAGGTGTCTAGACTAATAATAAAGCTGTCTTTAAAAAATAGGTGTAATAATTTGAACATTCTATAGGCATTTATAGTTGTTGACTTACCTCCTTGCAGCAAACAGCCTGATTAGCACAAGGGAAAAAAATCTGCCTCTGCCTCCCAGCAATTTGCCACTTGGAGCAAGCAGCAAGTTTCACTTTCAATTTCTCCCTATCATCATCTGTTTCAGGCTGCAGGGATTGCTATAGTCTATTGAAGCCTCAGCAAGCCAGTATCTAGTTTTATTGTTTTATGCAAACATAACCAGTGCATTCTGTAACTTTTGGGGAGGTTTTATAATATGTTTGCCCTTTTTCTTAAATCCATGTAATTCTGAATTCACCAACAATTTGGCAAATGGAGTTTTACAGAAACTTGCTTTTATAGATTTTGCTTTTTCTAGAGTACTTTATGATTAATGGTTGACTCTAAAAATTATTGGATGTTTTTTCTTAAAATATTTACAATATTTTGCTATGGGGCTATTGCAGAAGTGTATCTTGGTGTCCCGTGGAAAAAGATGATTGTTAGATGGTAACAAAAAAAAAATGTTTAGAAATCCAATCAAGAACTTGTGAACATAACATACTGCTTTCCACAAAACTCACTTTTCAATAGAAGAGAACATAAGTAGGTCAGGATTTAACTGCGGACTCATTGATGCTCTCTAAGCATGGTTGTTTGCTTGCAGATGTTTCATTATTGACAATGTAATATCAGTGCTGTGAGCGTGGTGCTTGCCCTTTCTTTATATATACAGTAGCTTTATATATACAGTAGGTGTTGGTAGAAGTATAACTTTTTCTTTGGTAGTTCCTTGACTAGAGTATTGCTTTTTGCTTGTTTTGTCTGGTGTTGATCCTTGATTAACTGGGTGTAGGTTGCTGGAGAGAATGTATTCTGGTCTTTTTGTTTCTTAGCCTTTTTAAATTGTCTCATTTGAAAGGTGTGTAAATGCGGTTTATCTCTATGTGTCTATTAATGGATGAACTTGTCTGAAAGCTAAGCTTTCAGGAATTCCAGTTTTAGCTTGGTCTAGGTTGCTGTTTTCCAGTTGAAATTACAGTTCAATCTTTCTCTGTGTTGTGAGTTTTCATTGTACCTTCCAGTTGCTAAATAGTGTTTATGGATGCACTCTACTATCTCTTTTCTGCCTGTCTGTCCTGCATACAGTATGAGCTGTTACAGTCCTTATACTTTGTTATAGATGAGTCCCATTCTTTCTTGGGCTACTAAGTCATTTGGTTTACATAACTGTGCTTTGGAGGACTTCAGTTGATCTATGGACTACAGTGATGCCATGTAGTTGTAATTGTGTTGATTGTTTCTGAAATGCTTTTGATGTAGTGTAGCAGGGATCAATTTAGCTTTACAGAGCATCATTATTTAGAATGAACCAGCTCACTGGGATAGTAATCTGTAACAATATTCACGAAACTTTTTGTAGATTCCACATATTCTTACTGGTTTCTGGACTATATTACAGGTAGTATTAGTACATAAATGTTTTAATTCAGTAACAGATTCAACAGGTAGTTTTTTGATGCCTTGATATAGCCCAGTTGTTTGAAATGAAATTAAGTGTGTGTGTATATGTATATGTACACACACACACACACACACACACACACACAAATTTGCTTTCAAAGATGTGATTGTTGCCATGACAGTGTTGTGCCTGTGTATGAACAATGAGATTCAGGAATAAAATGGCCTCACTACTGTCTTTAAATTAATGCACATAGATTTTAAAAAGTGTTGTTTTTTTAAAAAAAAAACTTCACAGAATCTTCGCAATCCAATAAGGAATGATGAAATTGACAATTCCATTTGAGGAATTTTGTTTTACATTGTTTTATTTCAGGATTTGCTTCTAATTTTATGTTGGAATTCTCTGCTATTAACTTTATTAAAGGTTTGGGCATATTTAACCCTGTTGCATTGTTAGCTGAGTTTTGCTAGACTTAAATCTTGATTATTATTTGGTGAAGTATACTAGGCTAAGGCAGGTATTTTACACAATTTAACTAAATGCTTCAGAGGGCAATTGTGATGAGGGCTGACGCCTAAATATTTCCTTAGGTTCGTTGCAAGAAATACTCAATAGAAAAATGTATTTCTATTTAATTTTATAAATGCATGCAAATGGAGAAAGGAAATTGAGGCCTGGGATTATCTGGGTTATCTACACATTGCAATCTGTTGTATAAATGCTGAAAAATCACATTATCCCATGACTAAGAATTGTTCTGAGTGTTCAGTCTTAGCTGCTCTAGTGTATTCAGTTTATAGAAACATTGTGATACAATTCTCCATATTTTTTATTTCAATAAATTCATCTCTGGAAGTAACTTATATTAAGAATTGTTTATTTAAGGTTTTCTGAAACATCAACTTTTCTGTCCTTACTACTGAAGGTAGTAAATGAAAAGCTCCAGCAGTGCACAGAACTGACAGATCTGATGAGAAATCATTTGAATGAAAAACATGCTCTGCGCTTGGAATGGATGATAGTAATACTCATCACAATAGAGGTTGGTTTACTAAAATTGTTTCGTAAAACATATGCAGAATGTTAAGTTCACTGAAGAGTATTTAAAGTCAGTTTCCTTAGACAAGGGACAAGTTTTCAAATAACTTTAAAATAGTTTCCATAAATTTATTTAAAAATATAGAAATCAGCATAGTACAATAGCTTGTCAATTTTACTATACTTTATTTTACTATACACTCACAGCCTTATTTTATAGCCATATAAATCAGACCAACTTATAAGTTCATTACAGTGCATGTTGGATTACTTATATTCCATGAGTTGTACAAGGTATGTAGGCTGAACAAAGATTTAATGGTAATTTAATGTTTTACATGCTGTTTACATATATTGAATATTCTATTGCCTATTTCACTGTGTGTTGCCAATAGTACTGTTTAGGAAATCAATTATGCAAAATAGTCCCAATCAAAAATACAATAGCAACTTCCTCCTTTGTCATTGGAGTAATGTATTCTTTGTTAGATATTGCTTGTTCAGCAAAGGCCTAGAAATTGTGTCCTCCAGTCTTGAAATTCTTATTTTCTAAAGGTAGTTTTTGTCTCAACATTGTGGAGAGCAATTGTTAGGAAAAAGGCTTATAGCTTATAGCTGAATCCACTCTATTGAATTGGTGACTAGATTTTAAGTATATTATCATCCTATGTCACTCTTTCACTGTCATCATTCCAAGTTCACAGAACCCTCCTGGATAGTGTTGTATCCATACCAGAGAGTATGAAGTTTACTCATGCTGTAGTACCCCAAATCATAGGAATGGCCTTGAGTTTCTCCACGTGTATGATGCAAAGGGAAAGGATGAGAATGGATTGAATGCATGAGGAGTAATCATAGTTATTATGTTTAATTAAATAACATTTATCTTTTCTTTCTGGCTCAACAACTGAAAGGCTAAATGCTGCTCTCTGGGAGGCAGGGGAGTTGTAAATCCCTATCCTAATGCTAAACTCAGTTAGTAGATTAATTACTAAAGCCTTCAGCATGTACAATTTCTGAATACAGGCAAGAATAACTATCCATCCCACAAAAACTACTTCATGTGCAGGCAGACAAGGTAGATAAGAGACAGAAGGGAGTAAAAGCTCTCTCTGGCATGAGTCCAGGTTATCTGAGAAATCTTTTTCCAAAGGGATCATCCCACTTCTCATTCTGGCAGGAGCCTACTGCGGATCCCATCAGCCAAGGAATTTCGGCTGGTGGGATCTACAGAATGATCATTTTTTGCCACATAACCCGCATACATTGGAACTTCTTGCCACCAGAGATTACATCTTCCCTGTCTTCTGGCATGGGGACTAATTGGCATGGGCACCCCGAAGGAAAAGCCATAGAAGTGGTTGGTGCAATAACAGAGAAGGCACCACTGCTGCTCCACTTGAAATGTCATTATGTTTTATTACATTGTAAGCTACCCAGAGTTGCCTCAAACCATGAGATGGGTGGCACATAAATGTAATTAATAATAAATTCCCTGGTTAGTGTTATAAATCAAATAGCCCTCTGTCCTAATACACAGCCACAGTTATATACACCCAGTTAACAGGTGTGAAATAGTTAAAATTTTTGGAAGGGCTGGATTTCAAAACAATAATACAAGGAATAAATTTAAATTCAGTAAATTTGCAAGTTTAGCAGTGATGCAGTGTACTCTTTGTTCAAGTTGCCACACACCTCACAATTCTTTTTTCTATAACCCCTCCCCATTTGTTCCCATTCCATGACCAGTACAGAATTCAGTATTCATTCTGCTGTCTTGGGATTTCAGTCAGTCTTCCCCCCCACCCCCCAAAAAAAATACTTTATGCTTCTGGTTTGGAGGTTACTGATCCCTGATATCTCGACATAGAGCACTTTGTGCAAACACTAAAAATAGAAACCAGCCAAATAAGCATGAAAGCTAGCAAAGTTCTGTTTTGTGTTGCAGGTCATGTTTGAACTTGGAAGAGTGTTTTTCTGATACCAGGTGTACATTGCAACACACATTTTACAAGACTAGTCGCTATCCGAGCAACAAGTTTATTGGACTTCAACTTTGTCTATTTTGGAAAGTGAGCAAATGTCATGATAAATTTATGGACATTTGCTACAAAATGATGGGAGTCAATGCATTTAATTTCATATTTCATCAGTAACTATGTTTCTTGGAATTGATGGTGTAAAAACATTGTGAAGCTGGTTTTCTATCTTACGGATGCAGATTATCTGTTATATTACAGGAAAAGGATATATATACAGTATGTACGACATTGAGCAGTTTTCTATATATGAGCTGCACGTTTTTTCACAATACATTCAATAGAATTAAGAAAAATATGTATATAATATGCTATTATGTATATGGGGATAGAAAACCTAATCCTAATATTGTTCATTTGTGAAGGAAGTTAAAATTAGAAATTCTCTTCAGCTAAAATTGTAACTGTCTTTGGAACTGTTTAATCATAAAGATTTTGTAAATTCAGATATTTCAAGAAGCAAGAGAAATTTAATCAAAGCAAAGTATTTGACTTTACTGCCTTAGACAAATTTTCCTCAGTAACCATTATGCATGTATGAATACCGACTGAAAAGCTGTGAAATAAAATAATGGTTGTAAAAAAATGCATTGATTTTATTGAAGCAAGATTAAGGATTTGGATCTCTAAAATCCAAAATCGTTTGACTAGATACATCAGAAAATTCATGAAAGCTTTAACTTTGTTCTCAACTAACTTTCCAAAATGTATCATGAATATTACAGTTGTCAAATTTTAACATTGTTATAAGAGTTAAAAAGAAACTCTTTAGTTTCAGAAAATTGGGGGGGGGGGTTGTAATTGAACCTACTGCTGAAATTTTTTGAGAAACAGAAAATATAGTGATAGCTCTGTTCATAGTGCACGTTTTTAGAGTAAAAAGCCCAAAGCATTTGTGAGGAAGGTACATTTTATCGTTTGAATGAGTTTGTATTTTTTTCAATTTTGCATCACTTCTCTATCATGTCCTCAGTAACAATGACAGCACTCGTTATATATAGTAATAGCATATTTGTAATTCTTGAGACAGTGGTGCTTAAACATTTGTGAACCTTTTTGAATTTTTAATATTTTTACATCAATATGACCTAAAATGCAATACTATTCACATTCTAAAACTAGAGAACCCAATTAAGCAGTCAATATATTTGATCACTTATTGACCATCATCCAAAGCTACATGTGTGTGACAAAAATATACAAACCTCTTGGATTATTAGTTACTTTGAAGGGGAAATTAATTAGATATTTCAATCAATGAAATGATAAGGTCTTGCCTAACAAAATTCTGGGTAATCTTATCAGTCTTCACAGCATACTATATGGAAGTGTGTCATGAGCTGAACAAGAGATTTCTGGGGACCTCTGAAAAAGTTAATACCACCAGGCTGGAAAAGATTACATAATTATTTCCAAAGAATTGGGATTAGACGAGTCGACTGTTAGATAATGTACAAATGGAGGCAATTCAGCACCACTGTTATCCTTCCCAGGAGATGTTGACCAATCAAGATCACACCAACAGCCAAGCGTGTAACACTCTGGGAGGAGTATCAAAGAATCCCACAGTAAAGGGTATGGAACTAAAGACCAGTTCATCAAGCAGGGAAGCCCACCAATATCTTTTGAGTTGAAGTTGTTTGATAAGGAAGAATAGTTAAAATTCCTCCCAGCCAATGTGCAGGGTTCAACAATAGTTATCAGAAATATTTAATAGCAGCAATTACACCTAATATTCAGCAACACCAATTATTGAAAAGGTTCACTTTTTTCATATGCAAATAAGCATTTTTGGATCAAACAGAACAAGCAATGTTTTTGATTCATTTGTTTAACTGAGGTCATATTTACGCAGAAATATTAAATTTAGAAGGGTTCACAAACCTTTAAGCCCACTTTAAACAGTTGAAATGAAATAAAATATATAAATCTGGGAAGCAGATATTCAAGACATTCTTATCAAAATGGTAGTGTCAAACCTTTTCCATTGCTTTGGTATACAGGTAGTCCTTGACTTACAATAGTTCATTTAGTGGCCAAAATTACAACAGCACTGAAAAAGGTGACATAACTATTTTCACACTTATGACCATTGCAGCATCTCCATGGTCACATGATCACAATTCAGGTGTTTGGCAACCAACACATATTTATGGCAGGAGCAGTATCCCAGAGGCATGTGATCACTTTTTGTGACCTGATAAGCAAAGTTAATGGGGAAGTCAGATTCACTTAATAGCCATGTTACTAACTTTAACAACTGCAGCGATTTACTTAATAACTGTGGTAAGAAAAGTCATAAAATGGACAAAATTCACTTAAATGCTTCACTAAGCAATAGAAATGTTGGGGTCAATTGCAGTCATAAGTTGAGGGCTACCTGTATTTATTATACAATTTCATTAACAATGTGTGGCATTCAAATTTTGCAAAGGTAACAAACAATGAACATTAAATATTATATGAAGGAGAGAGAGAAGCCTCTTTGTTTTCTGCTACCATATCCTGTAGTTGGGTTAAATAATCAAGTCTGAAAAATGCAGTCTTCATAAATTCAGTAAGTTGTTTTGGAATGTATTTCAATTTGTAAATAACACAGTATTATCATCTTATCCAGAAGTATCACATAATACTGGACAGAACATTAGCAAAGCCTCACAGACTCTGGCTGGTATCTGGCAGCTCAACAATTTAGTATATCTAGTTTGTGAAAATTAATACTAAGATTGCTAGTTTGCATGAAATGTATTTGAGAAAATCACGGACTCATCCTCTTAAATGTAAAATGGAGTGAAGAGCTACTTCCATTTCCCAATTGGAAACTTTATTACCCTTTCTTTACATTTTTGGAATATTAGTGGTTGTTTTATAATAAGACACCTATTTAGGATCTCATCTGTCCCATTTCACAAACTTGACTGTGACTCCATAACTTAGCTGTATTTCAGTATGACCTCAGGAATGCATTGGAAATTATGAAGTTTAATTCAGAAAAGCATTCAATAATATCCCTCTTGGGAGTCTAAAGATGGCTATATGCTATGCTGTATTACATGGATGCAGAACTGGTTGAGAACTGTTCAGGTAGTCCTTTAGTTACCAATCACAATTGTGCCTAAAATTTCTGTTGCCAAGTGAGACGTTTATTGAGTTGGCCCCATTTTATGGCCTTTTTTGCCACAATTTTTAAGAATCACAGCAGTTAAGTTGGTAAAATGGTTGTTAAGTGAATCTGGCTTCCTCATTGACTTTTCACCACACAAAGGATGATCACATGATCCCAAGATACTGTAACCATCATGAGTCAGTTACCAAGCGCCTAAATTTTGATCATGTGACCATTAGGATGTTGTAACAGTTGTTAAGTGAGAACTGTTGTAAACGGAGGCCTATATTCAATAAATGTACATCAATGACAACAGCAAACTGGACATATTAAAACATATGACGCTCTATTGAACTCTGTGCTGTTCAACGTGTTTATCAAATACTGAGTGAGGTGTTAAAAATGATTATCAAATGAAGATGACAATGTTGGGGGTTGATAAACACCATTCAGAATAGTATCAAGATTCAAAAGAATTTTGTCAAGCTGGAACAATGGAACAAATTAGCCAATATGAATTGCAACAGCAAATGCATAATCCTGTATCTAGATTATAGGAAATCAAAGAAGTAGGGAAATCAAATGTAAAGTTATGGGATGAGGGGAAACCATACTGAACAGCAGTATATACACTGCTGTTATGGAATCTAAATGCTTGAAGCATCACAATCCAAATAAGGAACCATGTGATACATGGACCAAACTAAGAAATGAACCACAGGCGGCAGCAGCATGGATCAGATTGCCGCTAATGTATGGTATCCAGTTCTTTGCGTATTTTAGGAAGGATACTAACAAACTGAAGAATGCTCAGAAAGAAATAATGGACCTGGGGGAAAAAACTTGCTAGAAACAATTGGAAGTGTTGGGTATGATCAGCCTGTGACTATTAAAAGACACAACAGCAATTACCAACTATGAAAAGGATGATAATGCAAAATTCAGGGCCTTGTTCAAAGTTGTTCCAGAAGACAAGATAAGAAGCAATTGGGTTAAATTACAAGGTCATAAATTTTGGACAGCAAGGAAAAAAAATCCTGATAAAAATAAACAATGGAAAAGACTATTGGGGAGGTGGTCAATCTTCAGGAAAAATACTTAAACAGCAGCTGGGTTGCCATCTGTCAGGATGCTGCAGTAATGAATCCATGCTCCAGGCAGGCGATTGGATAAGGAGATCTTCAGTCTCCTTCAAACTGTATGTTCTATTATTCAGAGTAAAAGCACTAAAGAATGTATTAGATACTTATACTGAATATATGAACAAAATGAAGCACACTAATATCATTTACCTATTCAGTTCTACATTGGAAAAATTTCCAATACCATTCCTGAAAAACAAATTTTCCTAGTTTACATAATTAACAAATATGTATGTAAATTTGGTTATTTGAAATTAGCACTTTTGGAAAGAGGCAAAAAGTACCTGGGGACAGCACATTTATGCCCAAATAGAATAAAAGCCAATACTATTATAATTAGAGGCAAAAAAATAGATTAAATTTAAATACTTACAATTTCTCAAAAAGGTCTAAATCCAGCAAAAACCTTGTTATTTAAATTAATGAGATCAGTTTTTGAACAAGTGTTTTGTACCTCATTATTAGAAAGCAGCTTTCACTTCAAAAATGAACTATTGTACTATTTACTGCCCAGCTAATTGGAGGGAATCCAACATCTTACTAAGCATCTGAATAAACAATTACTGAGATAGACAAGCTTTGAACTAAGGAACAGGACACTCCTAATGCATATCAGCCTAGAAATATTTCCTCCCACTTCCTTTTCTTCAATAGCCTAACCTGTAGATGGGATTTGTTTTATTTAACAATTAGGAGCCAGATATCATAGATCAACAAATACTAATCTGTTCTGCCAATCCCTGGTTTACAAAAGATAGTATATGTTTAGTGTACCAAGGGCTCCCCACAAAACCTGGATAAAACAGATACAATAAATCACACAATAAAAGGCAATTCAGATTCTGATTTATTTTTACATTTGTAATACCTGATAGATAAAAAACTTTTTTCCGGGAAGGTATTTTATGACTCAGTACAAAAGAGCAGTATGTAACTCGCTGTTTAGAAAAGTTTAAATCACTGTTCAGATATAAATACTAATGCTGATTTAAATTTTAATGCAAACCTATAAGTTTAATGCTACATACAAACGTTAATCCTAATTAAAATGCAGTCCTCTACTAGTAATATAGCAGTAGATTTACTATACTAGATCAACAGTTCATAAGCATTAGTTTATGCTTAAATGCTCATAAGCAGGGAACAAAGCTATGAGTTTTCATCAGATCACTGGTTTTACACAGCACACTAAGCTAAAATGTTGGGGCAGTTTATACCTCAGAGGACTACAAACCAATCACCAATACAAATGATAACCAATGCACCATCTAGAGATATATAGGTAGTCCTCCTTCAATGACCATAATTGGTACCAACAGTCAGTAAGTAAAGTGAAAC